GATAGATACTTAGTATGGGTTTGCTTACACATAATTTCCAGAGGAATTGTGAAATGTTGTCAGACTTGTGCTGCATGTAGGTAACAATGTGAAAACGCAGTCTAGGAGCTTGAGTTATATCCATATTTATTCAGCTGGCTATATCTAGATGACAGCCACAATTGCTTTTGGACAAAGTCCGTTAGCAAGATATAGAGGACCAGTTCGAAGTTCAATACACTGATTATTTCAGCTTTTGTTTTCTTATGCTTTATTTATGACGTCAGTAGACTAAGTTAATGTGAAAATGTTGCCTTCATTACATAGAATCTTACCCATGTTTGTAACTCCTGCTGTAATAAATAGTAATAAAAAAGAGTAATTGTAATTGTTCGTGGTAGATAGGTTTTCCCTCAGTCTTCAATACTGGTGATTCCTACAGGCTTCTGAGCCAGGTTTCATCAGTCTTCTCTGTTCACGTGTTCAGATGCTGAGTGCCTTTTCAGGGTCATGAATGACATATGGTTGCTACTCAAAGTACTGTTAATCTATTACTTTTATCTAAAAAGACCTTATTTTCTTGACAGAAATATTTTCTGACTATTTTGGAGAACATTTATGCCCCTCTTAAGTCTCCTTTTTAGTGTTTTATACAGTTATAATGAAGATCAACTGTTGTATTTGTTGACTGTGTAAAATGTTTTCAGTTGCACTGATGTGACATACCAAGGGTGTTTTTTCTCTATGCAATATTTGCAGATTAAAGATGATAAAACTCCCCCCTCTGTCAGTCTATAGACAGTTCTGTGTCCATGAGTACCCATTTCCCATGAGACAGGCCTTTCCAGTACAGGTGAGGAAGTAATTCTTTTTGTTAATCTGGGGGAGAAGGAACTAAAGATTTCCTTCGGTGTAAATTTCCAGTGTTTTATCAACATGCTGTCATAATATTCAATAGCAAATAAATATTCCAGTTCTGTAATTGCTTCTTGCCTTCACTGAAATTGATTGAAACTGATAAAGCAAATCCTCTATCTCCAGGTGCTCATTCAGGGTAAAACATTGTTAGTAAATAGAATGCATGCACTTTAAATTGTGAGACACCATTGTAATCTTCATAACAAAACAGAACCTTTGTGCTTCCTATTTGTTTATGTGACATTATTTAGAACCTGGTTTCAGGTGTTTTAATTCCTTACTTTGCACAAAATCATAGAATGGTTTGGATTGGGACCTTAAAGATGATCTCATTCCAACCCCATTGCCATGGGCAGAGACACTTTCCACTAGAGCAGGTTGCTCAGAGCTCCATCCAACCTGAACAGTTCCAGGGCTGGGGCAGGCACAGCTTCTCTGGGCAACCTGTGCCAGTGCCTCATCACCCTCACAGGGAAGAATTTTTCCTATCAGCACATTTAACACAAGCCACATCCTTTCACACACTGAACTGCTCAGGGCCATTTTATTATCCTTAAGTCTAATCTGATCCATGTAACAGCTTGCTTTAAAACTTATAAAATACATAGCTTTTTGGATTGAATTTTAGTGGCTGTAGGAATAAATGTCACATCTCAAGCGTGAAAGTTACAGAATGTTTTGGCAACGAGAACATTTATTAGGTGAAAAGATGCATTAAAAGCAGCATTTATATAGTTCAGCCATGGAAATCTACAACATTGCTGGCACAATTTCATGCCTTTCAGTTGGAGCCTGGTGTGTGCTGTTGGTGTTTCTTTTTTGGAACCATTTTTCTCTGACATATATGAAGTAGGGCCCTGAGACTGCAGATCTTGCCATCAAATCTGACTTTCTGTACCTGTAGGGATACAGAACTAATGGAAATGCCTCCTCATAGAGCTAGTAAGAAGTCCTCTCAAGGGAGCTGTCTGAACTAGGCTTTGTTACTGTGACTACGTGACCTGAGGGCTGTACCTTGTGCTGAATGCTGAAGTCAGAGGTACAGGCTGGTTTTAAAGCAGAAATACACAAAGCCCATTATTACATCAGTCCATCTGCTTGAAATACAATACAGTGATTATGATATAAAGCCCTTTCTTCTTAATCCAGGGATTCCAGGCAGTGCATAGAAATGCCTCACCTTTGGTAAAAACCCTTACATAACTCTCGACAGCAGTATTCATTAATAAATTTTTTTTTGTTTAAATGAAACAGCAGGAAGTAAGAGCTAATAAAGGTGATTAAGAGCAGGTAGACTCCAGATAGAAGAATATTTGAATTTTACAAAGTAGCTGACAGAACTGGTTGAAAATCAGATGCTATTCAGTTGTTTCGACTTGTCCTAGGGCTGCTTGAATATACTTTTGTGCCACACCTAACAGGTGCTGGACACTTCAGATGAGGGAGATCGATGACAGTCTCTGCACTTAGTTGGTCATCACATCCTTCCTGGTTAATGTACAGCCTGATAAGCTACCTGGCACAGTTCTTTTTGCTTAGTCATTGCTGCCTGTCACTGTTGAAGGAAGGGTTCAAGTTGCAATGAACAGAGAGTTAAAAAAAAAGCTAAACCCCATCCATTTTCTCCAGCACTTTAGAAGAAAGTAAAATCCATACCTGCTGCTTCCTGAGCAGCTTTTGTGACTCACCTCTCCCCCTTTCACAATAAAGTCTTTGTTTTCTCTGAAAAAGCAGTGGTCTTACCAAAGTGTCACACCTCCTCCCCTGAGATGCTTAACATTGAGCTTTGTCTTGTGTTACTGCCAGTTTGTCATTTTTATTATTATTTTTCTTCCTGATGCATGATGTTGTAATGTACAGATTAATACTTAACAGTGTTCAGTTTCTCAGGATATGTTACAGAGTAACTTAAGAGTCAGGTGGTTGGGTCTGCTAAAGGTAGGTTACAGCCTAGCCTAGTTCCACCACATGATAGCTTTCCAGTATTTGCTCAGTACTAACAATTACTTGGCTTTTTTTCTGTCTTAGTCTTGTTTTTGGAACAGCAAAGCATATTATACAACATGAATATAGTCTCTGTTTAATATTCTGTTAAGGTTATACTACAGAACTGCATTTACATTCAGCTGGAACATCCTATACTCTATGCATTGGATAATGTAAGACAGTGGAGAAAGACAATTAGGGGAGGATCAAGTATCATGTTCGGTTGCAGTAAATAAAAACAAACACCACCGTTATGCAAGAGTATTTTATTGTCTGCCTTAAACAAATAAAAGCACATTTCCAATTTGAGGTAAACCATTAGTAGTAGTTTGCAGAGAGTATAAATGTCTCTAAAAATAAAACAGCAACACAAAGGTCATGACAAGATTTATGTTTGTCTCTAGACCTTCATTAGGTAGTTCATACAGTACCACTTGGCGCAGGCTCTGGCTCAGACCAGTGTGCTCTCCATTGGAAGGCCAAAAGACAGGACAGTGTCAGGACTGAGGGAATGTCACTTGTTCTCACCACAGATGGTCTCAGGCACTTGAACATGTTGTGTCAACTTGTTTAGGAAAGCTGCTGTTCTGCAACGCACTCTACTTCCGAAGAATTTTGCCTAGTTTACACCTTCCCCCTCAGAAAGTTCATTTTTGGTTGTGTTGCCGAATTGAAATGACCAAACAGCAGAGCCAGAGAAAGAAAATAGAGGGAACTATTTCAGACAGGCACCCTGGGACATTCTGCACCAGCAGAATCACCTGGACAAGAAACACGTTTACAAGTGATCAGCAAATCATTAGGGATCTTGGAATTTCTGAGAAAGCTTTGCAGAAGTATTTTGGATGATGAATGAGCACATTTAAGTTTTATCTTGGTCAGATCCATTTTCCCAATCCTGTCTGGTAGGAGGCAGGTCACATAGTTGGAACAAACCTAGTAATTAGGCTATAGATATGAGCCAAGAGAACAAACAGGTAAAAATCAACTCAAAGGTCAGGTCCCCAGGTATAGCATTGCTGGTTATGCGTGAGATTGTGCCATTTCTTTTAATGGCAACGTTCCAAAGCAACAAAGGCCTCAATGCAGAAACAGCTCACACCGTGGTATTTTATTTTGTACAGGAAACTTGTTTAAGTTACATTGACCAGTAACATTTTTCTGCTTGTTAAAGCTGCATGGACAAGAGCACTTGTTAATCATGCCATACCAGCAACTTTTGGTTTTTAGGGCTAGGAATCAAGAGCAGCTGATGTGCCCTGTTTAATTTCATTTCATTAAAACTCACAGAAGAGTTTCACTAAGAAGTAGAATGTACAGTAGTCCAATCAAGTAACACTTCATGGTGTACCTCTAGGGATGCCTAGTTCCACTCAGTATCTAAACCTTTTTAACACTTCACATGTGCTTTAAAAGTGAACAGAGAGTATGAATCCATGCAGAATTATGCATGTTGAATACATCAAGTATTCATCAGTCCTTATTAATTTTGTAAGTATCTAAAAGTTATTTAACCTCTCAAAAATTCCTGATCGTTTTTAAAGCAGTTAGTGTTTCACCTGTAAGCTGCTAATGTAACTCCTTAAAAGCCAAATTACCTTACATAATATTGAATTACACTGCACAATGAATAAGTGTGATGCTTCATGGACAAATAAAATATCATGCCTTTTCTAAAGCAATTCCAATCCAAGGACCAGATCCTGCAGGAGCTAACACAAAACAAGATTTAGTGGAACTTGTGTTGCATATGTGAAGTTACTCATGTGCTTGTGTCCACAGTGCTAGGTTGTTAATGAAAAACTGGATTTCAGTCTACTCTGCATTAATGGTGATAGCAGAAGACCAGTAAGAGTCCTTTATTGCCAAAACTGCAGTTTACTTTTGCACAGACTTTTTTGTGCATACTTCTGATTTATGTGGGTTTAAAGGAAGACGTATCTTAGACCTTCAGTAGTTTACCACTGAATTTGAAAAGGAAACCTTTGAAAAAAAACAATTCTCTGTAACTCTGGACCTTTTGTAAGCATTGCTGCTGCTGCACCTTGGAAAACAGAAGTGGAATGTTACAAATGATCCTTCACAATTCAAAACTAGATTGTTCCTCACTGCACTCTCTACTCTTTCTTTGCATCCTGGGTGTCTTTTTCTTCATCAGAGTACTCAGTGGGTTTCTCTCCCTCCTTCAGCAGCTTACCAACATGATGATACTTAACTGGAGGGAAAAAGAAAAAAAAGATCAGAGTAATTATTCTGCCCTGAGGATGTATCTTTTTTAACTCCTCTGATTTCTGAATTAACAAAATGCCTATATTATAAGAAAACAGCTCTATGCAACTCCTTCCAAACACTGGAGGGAAGGACAAAAGCTGAAATCAACTACCTCAACTACTATTAATGTTGTAGTTAAGAATCATGTGCACTGAATATAACTGTAATTCTCATTCTATTGCTTAAGACAAAAGATGAATGAATGTAAAGACACACATAAACAGAGGCACTCACCCAGCTAAAGAAACCGAATCCTGGATTAGATTATTTCTCTGCCTCTGTCAAAGATTGTTTTCAACCAATGGCATTGTCAGAGTATTTACACTCACAGACGTATGTGCACACATACACAACTTTGAAGGGGTTTTATTTTTTGTAATGTATGTTGAAAATGCCCAATGGGATGGAAGGGAGATCCTTTCTCTCAAAGATAAAGACGGATCTGTTATCCGATTATGCGATTAAGCCTCCGATTTATTTTATATCTCTTTTTGAACACCAAGATCATTATACATGTAAGGAGAGCTCTGCTATGCTGCTCATCTGTCAACTTCAACAAAGCAAAAGATTCCCCTGATTACAGGTACTTTGGACTAGTATTGTTGTTATAATGAGTAAGAATTTAAAGCAACTAATTGCCATATTTAATAGAAACACAGTAATAAAAAGAGTGCAGTTCACTACCAGTCCTGGTGCTCAACTCTTGTAAAGGTAGATTTAAACACTAGTTTAGGTCAGTTACTTGGTAGCATAGTTCTGTTTCCTGCAACATGCTTGTTAGCATAACAAAACAGCCATTCAGTGTGGCATGATTAACAGTCTTGATTAAGACAGGAAGAGGGCCAAAATAGTAGGGGCACATCAGGTCAGGACTGAGAGGTTCTAATGACATCATGTGGAGGAAAGCTCTATTATAGCTAGTTATAGTAAACCTTCGAACACTAGATTTAGAAAGAAAACACATTTGATTTCCACTACACTACTTTTTGGTATATGCAATTTCCATCATATATATGACAGATACATTTATATACATATATTAAAAAAAAGTTAAATCAAGACAAAGGACTGCTACATGTATTTTTTGTCTCATCTGAGAAATAATCCCTTTGGTGTTCACTTGCTTAAAAACTCATGAGGTATGGAGAAATTATTTCTCATCAACAAGATAGAAAATGTGAGGGAAAACAAATCATACTCTGCTAGAGCCACCAGCAAGGCCATGCAAAATAACTTACGGAGAGGGAAAAAAAAATTTCTATGAAGAGCTCCAAGGGCAAAAGACCTATAAAACAGTCTTAAAAAAAAATCAAACAACCCAAGAAGTAACAATTCAAATGTTACTCTCATTTTTGAGAGGCTGAATGGGACATAAGCTTCATTTTTCAAAGCATTAAAATCTAACAGTCTCTGTAGATGGAATCTTAACTGTATCAAAAACATGCTCTTTATTTCCAAATCCTGTCAACTTTTTGAGTGGTCTTATAGATCTTACCCTATGATACAGTGCTTCCACCTCTACTACTGTTCTGTAAGGAGCAGAGAGAGGGAGAATGCAGAAGGAGAACTTGACATTTCTCTTAATTCTTTTGAGTATGTCTAGCAACAGTAAACTGAGGTATTAAAGTAAATTTCCAGACTGACTGATGCTGGTAACAGCCCTTTAACTATTGCTTCCCCTCTTACACACCAGTTAGCTACTTCTTTGTAAATAGGTTTAAAATTGCTTACAAGTGAATTGTGACTCCCAGTCACTCAAGGTCTCTCGCTGTGTACTGTTGAGATCAGAGAGGTCATCATAGTCATCCCTCAGTGCCTCCTTATCCAGGCAGAACGTGGCAAGACCTCGGGATGCATCTCTTCCAGCAAAAATCCCATAGGGGCCGTCTTTAAAATAAAAACATAAGCAGCATTATTACAGAGGTAACGAATGCTGTGTGATCCTCATGGATCAGAGTCCCCAAAATAAAGCAGATAAAGAGCTCCTACCCTGACCAGTGTGGGTCAGAGGTGCCTCAAGCTTCTGAAATGCTTTTTAAGTTTCATTCTACTTGGTGATGAGGGAAAAGAGAGGAAGAGCACAAAATAAAGCCACAGAAAAAGATACTGAGATTGCTGAAACATCAGGACAACACACCACACAACGGTGCATGGCACGTACAAACAGGGTAAGGATAAGCATATGAACTGGGAAGTACATCCTCAGAGCGAAGAACAGAGGAAGGATTTATGTCTGAGGTGAAATGAAAGCTTTCCAAGAGACACTCCTGACTTAAGAGATGAAAGGACAGCTTGACAGAAGATGTAAGGGAGATATTAGAAATTACTAACTTGGAAGAAACATCTATTAAAACTTTCAAAATGCAAGATGAACTCAAATGATTAAAACATGCAGCTCACAGCAGATCAGAGTTAGCAAGACAGACTCTTGCTAAATTTCATAAATGATTAACCTGCTTGCATGACAAGCCAAAAATCGAGATACTGCGTGTTGCAACTAGACATTCAAAGTTCTTCTTAAGGGAGCTTAAAGAAGTTAGATGTGAACTCTGGTTACTGTAGAGCACGTGGCATCTTCCACACCTCCCAGAGTGCGTTTTCCTAAATTCATCAAAAGAATCTCGCTTTTCCATTAAAATGAAAACCGAACTAGCCATCCAGTGATGGCTAGTGAACCATCCAGCAATTACCAAATTAGATACAACAGGCAGCTTTTCCTGTTGTCAAGGAAGGCAGGACCCAAAGCATGGTCCTTATGTCAAGTGGGTTTTGCACAAATGCAGAACTGCACATCAAACTCAGCTGTACATATCATCCTCACTGCTGCAGAATGCAGAATTACAGTCTGGCATCATTCAGCAACATCCAGTCTATGTTTGGACCAAAACTAGTAACTTCATAATGGCTGCAAATACATGGCATCTCCTGCACTATTCTCCTTGCCTCTAAGTAGCACTGGCAGCTACCAGCTGTCTGGACAGCTCAGGAGTGGGTATGTTATGCCAGACAGATCCTGGTACAAATCGGCAAGGCTCAGTGAGGCTTTTTAACAGGCAGCCTCTGTTCAAAATAAAACCCCATGCCCTCGTGGAGGTGATTAAACTCTTACACCTGGGTGGACATGCTCCCACCCACCTCATCACTAGCTGCCCTGTAAGCATAGGTTATTCAATCCTTGCACGTTTGAACTATGCTCCCGGTAGGAAGGCAGTTTAATCTAAATTGCTAGGTATTCCGTACAAATATTATGCAACAGAGTGATGTCCACTAAAAGTTGGGAATGGAATGTAAACACTGAGAGAACACTTTGCTTCTGCCGCTTGGCATCAGCCAAAGGCAGCCCAGGCCGACGAGTCCGCCCAGCCCCTTTCGGTATGTGCGACCTGCCACGGGAAAGCACGGA